AATCCCAGGGAATGCCTTTTGAGGAAATCAGGTACCTATTTATCATTTTCTCATTTGTCAATGAACATTTCTTTAAAAGAAGATCCTGCATGCTTGATTACTTACAATAATGTTCTTTTGCTTTCCCTCCAGAATGAGAAAGAGTAATCACTGGCTTATGTAACATGGTACCTCACTTGCAAATTTGTGAAGCAAGCTCCTTTTGTTGACAGTTCTAATGTCTGCCATAGGTTTGGGTGGAATGAAGCCCTGGTGCTCCTCTAATTGGATATAAATTAGGCATCAGCCAGGTCTTTGACAGGATCCTTGTTATCATTTCCTTATTTTTTAAGCTCTGAATTCAGCATTTGGTGGGAAGTCCAACTACTCTCTTAAGACAACAGAAATGTACTTCTTGAGCTTTTAGGCTGCAGCGGTCCTCTATGTTTAAATGTCTCTCTGTTCTCTCTCCCTCTCTCTCTCTCTCTCTCTCTCTCTGGCCATCCTTAAAAAGAAGAATAAAGTTTTTGAGTGCTTCCTACATGAAGTAGGAAGCCATATTTCATGCATCTTTACATAGGTTAAATTGCTTGATTTTAAAAGCAATTTTATAATTTAGGTAATATCCCATTGCAGAAAGGGAAACTTAGAGTTAGAACTTAATTTCCCATATTCTGGTACAGTCAAGATTCAAATACCAAGCTCCGTTTGACAGAACCCATTCATATTACACTGCACACTGAACACTGAATAAGCCTAGGTTTGGAAAAAGAGAAAATTAGGATGAGGACAGAAGAACATTGTGTGATATCATTTGATGGTCCTCTATCTCTCACAACTTCAGCTGATTAAAATGAAGGAACAAGACTAAATGACCCACTAAGTCCCACTCGATTTTGTTTTTATGGTTAATCTGGACACTACCATTTACCATGAAACCATACTGAGTTGTTAAATCTCAGTGGACTTCAATTTCCACTTCTGTAAAATACCCTATCTATTTTCCAGGTGAAATCCCATGGATGTGATAGTTTGTAAATTACACCAGACTGTAGGGATATAAATTGCTGTGATCACCCATGAATCCCCAAGCAGCTGGAACCCCTCCACCCTGCATTCATTCCTTCCTAAACTTCTCTGCTTCATGCTCTCAAGAGAAGTTTAAAGTTATCCAAGTTCCCAGAGCCTTCCATATCTAAATTACACCCTTTCTCTACAATTTTTTCTTCTTTTTGGCTATTTTAAGAAATTTTTTTTAAAAATCGGATGAACATGCATTCCTAATAGACTTCCCTCACTTGCCCTCAATTTCCTCCTTTGTAATCCTATTTCCATCAATATTCCCTGTCTTAGTTACTTTCTTCTTCACTGGGACACAATACTCAACACTCACAAATTACAGGAGGAAAGGCTTATTTGGCTCACAGTTTCTAGAGGGTTCAGTTCATAGTAGGCTGGCTCCAAAACAAGGCAGTATGGCAGACAGGCAAGACACAGGAGGGCTGTTTATGTTATGGCAGTCAAGAAGCAGGGAGCAAACAAGAGGTAAGGGGAGACAGATCAGATCCTGGCCATGCCCCCAGTGACCTACATCTTTGGACCAAATCTCACCTCCTGACAGGAAGTGAGCTATAAACCCCGATAATCCAATCACCCTCCAAAGGCTTCACCTGAATGCATAAACCTTTAGGTGAACATCTGTTTCATTTGTTCCTGGATATTTGTCCATAGGAATCATAAAAAACTCTCCAAAAGCATGATATGGTATACCTCACATTTCTTTCATTTTACTTTTCTTTCTTTATTTAGTTTAAATATTTTAAGTAATTCTATGCATTAGGTACACTATGACACTCTAATTAATTTATAATGCAGCATGACTAAATCAAAATTATCAATCACCTCACTGACCTATTATTTTTTATGACTTTGAAATTTACATATGTATATATATATATACACACAAAACATTACGATTGATTGTAGTCACTCTGCCACATCAGACTTGAAAATGTATTCTTCTGTGTATCTGAAACTTTGTATCCATTTATAAATACTCCCAAATTCCCTCCCTCTCCAACTCCCCTCAGCCCTTGTTAACCATGATTCTATTCTCTAAGACTTCCATTTTAATTGATTCCTTATTTAAGTGAGCTCATGTAGTCTTTCCATGCTTGGCATATTTTACTTAGCATTACATCCTCCAGATCCAATCATGTTGTTGCAAATGATAGGAATTTACTCATTTTTAGGCCTGAATAGTATTCAATTATGTATGGATACATTATTCATCCATTGATGGACACTCAGGCTGTTTTTACATCTGGGCTATTATGAATAATGCTGCAATGAACATAAGAGGACAATTATCAATTTGATATGCTGGCTTCAGTTTCTTAAGATACTTATCCATAGTGGGATTATGGTAGTTCTATTTGTAGCTTTTTTGAGGAACCTCCATACTGTTTTCCATCATGTCCACACTAATTTAAATTCCCACTAACAGTGTGTAAGAGTTGTCTTTTCTTTGCATACCCTCCAATACTTGTTATCTTCTATTTTTAAAATTAAATTTATTTTTGAACTGATGCATAAAACTTGCAAATGTTAATGGGGAAATGTGCTGTTTCAGTACATGTATAACTTTTGTAACATTTAAATCAGGTTAAGCATAGCTGTCTTTTCAAATGTTCATCATTTCTTTATAGGGAAAGGTTCAAAATCCTTTCCTCTAGCTTTTGAAATAAATATACAGTACACAATGATTTTGGTCATCCTAGTATATAATAATATACTGAAATATCTTATTCCTGTCTAAGCATAAATTAGTACTATATCTGATTTCTGAGCCGCCAGCTTGTCCTCCCTGTGTGACATAACTTGTTCTGGCATCCTACATTTAAAAAAATTCAGGAATGTGAATTTAATTTTCTGTTTCTTTAACCTAGACATTTAATTCTCTTTTCTCTTGAAATCTTTTCTTGGTTTCAGAAGATTGCTAATGTCTCATTTTTTTCCAATGATTTTTCTTCCCATTTGGCTCTTCAGTAAAAGAATTACCCAAAGTCTATCCTTGATCCTTTTATATTCTTCTCTACTCCTTTAGATAATTCCATCTCATCTAAGGGCTTTGGTGATCAACTATATTTAGGTAACTTTTAAGTTAATTTAAGGTTAACTCTAACAAAAGTTCTTATCCCACATTTCCTGCCTCTTTCAGAGCATAACTCCTCAAATATATGACTGCATATTGCTTTATTATATTCTTGGTGGAATATCACTGTGCCTCCAAAACTGATTTTCCTTCTATATTACTTCTACATTTTCTATATCCCAACTCTATTCCTGATCTCTCCTTGCTGTTTACATTCAGTCAGATCTTGAATCCTCTGGTTTTCCATATTCATTATTATACATTCTGCCTATAAATATTATGATCACCAACTGGATTTAGAGTCCTATCCAGATATTGTCTTCATCCTCTTCCTCTAACTCATCTTACACAGCATTCTCAGATTATTTTGCCAAAGACATCATAATAGTGATACTATTTTGCCACATAAAATTTTCAGAGTTGCCCTTATCTCAACATTCAGTGTTCTCAGTGAGCTACCTCTAACATGCTTGTGAATTTATTTCTTATAACATCTCTCCCAATTACCCTTACAAAGTCTCACCCTAGCTAGTTGAAATGTGTTATTTCTTTATGAGTATGGCTTATGCTATTGATAGTATTTGTGCTGTCTTCCTGTACTTTCAGATCCACCTAATCACACCATTACTTCCTGAGTCTCCTCAGTAGTATCTTCCCTTTGTGGATTCCCTTAAAATCTTATGCTGGAGTCTTTTTGCTTCTGTCTTAGATGATGGTTATTTTTGTATATGCCACATTTCTAGTAAAAACTAATTCCCCAAACAAGCATCTGTGCTGCACTTTTGATTGTTCTCCTAGTACAATGCCTTATACATGGTAAAGCTTCAGCAAAATGAGTTAAATAGATCAAAGTACAAATGGATATTTGTAGATTCTGAGAATCAGACAAAAAATAATCATTTCAGAGATATTCATGGATGTTACTATCACTTGGCAGCTGTGTCATTGTTCTGGCTCTAGTGATCCAGCACAGACGGACCTTGAAACTAAAGCTTGTGAATCAAGTGAGATCCTTCACTCAGAAACCCTGAAATCAGCATCTTAATCCATCATCCTGAGTTTATCGTATCTCATCCCTCAGTTTCATGTCACACTGATGTTCAGTGCCTATTACAATTACAAAAGATCCATTAAATTTCTGCTAGTTGTCTTTGGATTAAGCACTTGATTTTTCGATAAATTTCTCCACATACACTGCAATGAGAAAACCACTGGTTCCAGATAGTACATATGCATTTTAACCATGTTCTTGGAGACTCAATAATCTTAATATTGTTTAACCCTCAAAGCATTCAAGTAATGAAAATAGCAACCCAGAATGGAATAGAGAAACAGGGCCCATGAAACAAATATTTAATGCCTCTAAATATATGCCCATGTTTAAATTGATACATTCTCCAAAAACATCTTCCCTAAATGTTTCAATGATAGAACTCTCAGGATAGAGGAAAAGAGAAGATAACTAAAACATCCTCAATAACAACAATAATAATAATTCTAAAAATTGCCGAAATACTAGCTTTAGTTAAGCACTTGAGTAAAAGGCACTCACACTTGTAATGCTTTAATCACATGTTCTCATTAATCCTCAAAATATCCCTAAGATATTGCATTAGCTTACTTTACAAATGAGCTAACCGAGCTGAAGCTCATAGTGGTTAGTTAAGTACAGTACCTTATTAAACCTCACAAAGCAGAGGCAGCCACTTCCAAGAATAATATGTGATGATAATCAAATGTAGAACTCATTTCAAAATGAAAAGATATAAAACAAGTGTTAATAGCTCCATAAATTGATGTCTAATTCCAGAAGCATGTATATTGCCATTATGAGTGTACAATAGGCACAGTGAAGCAGTGTACTCACTCTCTGTCAATCACAAGGCAGGTCACAGCTTCTGCAGCAATTACATTTGCTGTTCTCACATCTTCCCTAGATGAAAAATAGAGATATGAGGATAAAGCTGTTAATATCAAAGGAAAGTGTCCACTGTGACTAATTCAGGAAACCTACTGAATTATATAAATTTCTGATTTATACACTTCTAGGTTTAAGCTTTATTCATGTTACAAATTTCTTTGCCCTGAGGAACCACATCACCCTTGTCATTATTCATGGAGAAGCAATGATCCATTGTTAAATTTTTTACATTTAAAGTTTTAGTTACAAAAGTGTAACAATTTTATATGATCATTTCTTTTGCTCTCTGGGAGTTCTTGAATTAACTGGAAATGATGAAGTTTGTAATGGTCATGTAATGTAGATGAAACTTTTTTAAAAATCTGAAGATATAATTCTTGTGTATAAATTTGTCATTATATCATTGAAAACAATTGGTCTGCTATAATTATTTTCTTAAGTTAGAGACCCAATTTTTATATAGCTAAACTTTTGGCGATTTATGGTACACAGTTACTCGTCTCTATCACAGCTTATGGTTTCTCAAGAGTGCATTAAAAATCTTGGTCACACTGACTGAAATATGTAAAAATTGTCTCTTTAAAAGCATTTAATTTTCCTTACAGTGTACCTATTAATCTCATAGACCTTAAATGTTTGTCCTAGTACCTTTTTTTCAGTAGTCAAAGGTAGATTTGAGAAATTAACATTCACAATTTATTTTTCAGCTACAAAAATTTAATAGTACCATTGTCACAATATTATGTGAAAATTCAGTCTTTTTCTATAATAATACAATTTCTAAGGTAATATAATTAATTATAAATGTATTTGGAATATATTGCAGAGATAAACACATATGAGACAATATACTGTTAATAAAGTCTAAAAATCATAGAACACCATGTGTCTCTAGTATCGGGCTTCTAAAGTTTTGAAAATAAGCATGTTTCCAGTGAATTTTTCTATTCCTCAAACATACTAAACTCTGACATGTACTTCTGGATTCTGTATTTTTACACTGAACTCTTTGACTTTCATTGCTGCTACATCATGCTGTTAAGATTACAGTCATTTTATATAAGCTAGTGTTTGGTATTTGGTAAAGCAAGTTCCCTCTCTCAAATGTAGTAGTTCAGAAATATTTTGGTGATATTTTTAAGCATTCATCATTTTACACAGACTTCAAAATAATGTTTTCTACTTCTAAAGAAACTCACATTGGGATTCTAGTAGAGCTGTACTACATTTATGCCTTGAGCTCAAAAGGAGCATTTTCTGATGACATTAATTTTCCACAAAAGAACATGGCATGTCTTTCACTTGTTCAGATTTAGTTTTATGTTCTTTTAAATAAGATTCCATGATTATTTTCACTTGGGGCCTGACATTTAATGAAAAATTATTCTTGGGTGTTTCATATCAAGTTTCTCATTGTCAAGTTATGAGCAACATTCCTTTTCCATTTGTTTTTCGCTAGTTATGCTATTAACAAACAAAGCTCTCCTGAACAAATCCACCTTGGATACTATGTTCTCTTCTGACTCTAAAAATTTTATTATAGTCTCACTAACTCCTGGTATGATCCTCCCAGTGGCTCCATCACATTTTTGCCTTCTAGCCAAACTGGCTCTTTTCAATCAATCTTTTCATGTCAATCTTTTCATGTCCCTCCTGCATAAGCTCTTCATGACATGCTATCCGCAGGCCTAGGAAGCACCTCTCCAATTGTCTGCCTAGTTCCCCCCTTCTTATCCTTATCTCAGCCCAAGTGCCCGTTCCTCAGAAATGCCATCTTGAATTAACTAGGTCAGATGCCCCGTATATTGGTTTCATGATCATACATATTTCTACATGCAAAACACCTATCGTCGTTTGTAATTTATACATTCATTTATGTGGCCATTGGATTATTGAAACTATTTCTCTCCCACTAAGAGAAATAATCCAGAGTCCTGGGTCAGCATAGTAGGGTTCAGCCATTAGAGTCACATTGCCTTGATGTTAAACCCACCTCTACCACTCAAATGCTAAGGAAGCCTCAATTTCCTCACCAGTAAAAGGGGATGATATGAGTACCCATTCACCATATGGAATTAAATGAGGTAATCAAAGACAGGTTTATCACAGGGCCAGGCACTCAGGAAGACAGTCTGTTCTATTTATTTCTTCTAATTTTTCTCATCTCCAACATCATCTATTATGTGTGTCCTTGTGGAGGCTTTGCCTGGTGTTTCATAAAAACATTTCTATCTTGGAAAAAAGGGGGGCTTCTCTGTGCCCCATAGATCTACACAATATAATTTCAAGTTCATTAGGACTTTCAGAGTTGGAAGTTTTGGTGAAGTGAACACAACAGGCAGGAAACATCAGTGATGCCCGTTGAATCCTTCAAAGCTGGTGTGAATGACTTATTTCTTAGGATACTGCTTATGACAGCATTAGTTCCTACAAGTTACTCATAGCCTTAGAACCACAACAAAACAAACAAAACCACATTCACACCTTTATATAAGACATCCTATTAAATCTCACTTTCCCTAAATATATCTCCATTTTGATCATTTAGAGATTATTCAGTGGAGCTTTTAAAATAATGTATACAACAAAATAAGGCTTGATTTTGAATATATTTTCCACGTTTATAAATTTTTAAAATGTACTTATCACAGATTTCCAGGATTTTAAGATTTTATCATATTATCTTTTTAAAGTGGATGTACTTTAAAAATTGAATGCAATGTCTGTGCAACAAAAAGAAAATATTGCTATTTTAAAATGTAAATGAGAACCAAATCAAAGATCATAAGAATGTCTTAATCAATAGAAATGGAAAATATTTTATTATACAAAGGAAACTTTTTGAATGTTGGCTAAAATTAGAGTAGCTAGGAAAAAGACATAAAACTAAACTAAAAAACTAACATAACTTAAAAAATAAACAGAAAAGAGTGTAACATCAGGGGGAACAACATATTAAACAATTAAATTTTTAAAAATAGGTTTATATTTGTCACTTATTGAGCATCTAGTGTGCGTTGGGAACTATATTGACCAGTTCTTATAAATTCCATTGTTGCATACCAAATATGTTGATTATTTTATCTCAGATTTCTATGTAGGAATACAGATTCAGCAGTACCCCAAAGGTCAGGCATAGCTCATGTGTTGCAGCATTGGAATTTGAACACAGATTTGGCTGTTCTCAAAGTCACGCTCTTTCATAACAGAATACTGTTTATAAATTTCATTCTTGAGTTTAATTTGACAATTCTGAATTTATTAAATTACTTTTTGTTCAGTAGGTACTCTTAGTGTCCACTGTTGTGAAAATTATATTTAATTGTTAATAAAGCAAGCATTAATATATTTATGTGTATCCAACTGCAAAATGAATCTGATGAGGTATTTTGATTCTTAAAATATCAATATTCCTATACATGGCTTCTATGTTGTTTTATAATAATATTGCAATAACTATTATTTAATGCCATGCTCATTCAATGCCTAATGTATGCTGTCATTACAATATTATTGTGTTTCTACTATTTAGGTGCTTAATGCCTTTATAACTTTCTATGCTTGTGTCCAGAAATGCCACTTCTATGCGCTCTGAGATTCTGTTCCTATGAAAGACAAAATGCTATCCTACCTAGTATGGGCATATATTAATTTGTCATCTTAGTCAAGATGGCAGAAATTTCTAGTGAAAGAATATTATTGATTACAGCTGCCAATATTATGATTATTTTGTATATTTATTTCCTCTGTGGGTCCAAAGACATTGGTAAAAGCAAATATTGTTTGGATTTAGATATGAACTGTTACATGCTCATATAATACAGAGGTCCTTGTTCTGTTACCACATTGACAGCCATACATATGATACATATGATAACTGGCTTCACATAGAACATCTACCCAGTTAGCAGGGGTAACAAGTAATACTGGTTTAGATATGAGGAAAGGAAAGATGGAGTGCAATAGTATTATTTTTTAAAATTGAGATTTTAAATTTTGGCAAATCAGGGTACTTAGTTCCAATTGAAAAAATATATGAGATTTTGAAAAAAGTACTGACTGTGACATAATTTCAAAACTAGAATTATAAGATAATGCTCAACTTACTTAATCAAAACTTTCACCAAATACAACCAGCCTTTGATTGCTTGGCACAAGAGGCTTGCTTCTTTTTAATGAATAAGTGTATCTTTGTCTATATAATACTCTAAGTCTAACATGCACATTGTCTCATAAAATAAAATCTCATGTTTTTCTACTTAAATGCCTTTGTATTAGTTTATTTCAGCATGACAATTAATAAATACTACTGTGAAAGTATCTGGCAGATTAACAAATATTTTCACAAATGTGCTATTGATTAATGAATAATTACAGTCAAAGCTATGCGGTTTATTAGTGGTCCCCCTTTAAGCATGTTTGGAAGAGTTAGAAATTCCTTTCCATGAAATTATACAGCATGAAAATATTTTCAAATATTTGCAAATATTTTCTATGCACTGACTCTGATATTCTTTGAACTTCATCACTGGAATCTTCATCATCGCTGTATCCCAAAGTAGAATCACTGTCAGGATCTGAATAATCCATTGTAAAGGTTTGCATTGACTCTTCTGGTTCTGAAGCAGTTCTGTGTTTCATGCCTACTAGAGAACTCCATGACACATGGCTCTCTCATGGGAACAAATGCAGAGTGGATGAGGCCAAAGCAGATCATAAAGCAAAGTAGCTGTCAGAGTAAGGGAGCTCCTTTTTCAGCTGTGGAGCAATGTGACTACTGTCAACAGAGTTCCAACACACTACCTGTGCCAGCCTTCATGGAAACTGACACTCCTCCAAATGCACATGAGCTTTCGGCAATCCACAGATCTGAATGCTTCATTCTCTGGCATGTGCACTAGTAGTGTCTCAGTTAAGTTTGGTTCATAGGGCACAAATAAAATCCTTTTAATCCCAATATCAAAGGTAATATCACAACAAATAGCATAATGAAATTTTATAGGATAGGAAAA